AGACATGTTTCGTATCTCAAATGTTTGACATTTGGATAAACTACCTGGTAAATATGAATATGGAAATGATCTAATTCCATATGGGAACAAATTGATAATGAAATCAAATCTTTATTGGTCGAAAATACCAAAACGTTCACGAACTGAAATGGAGTTTATTGGTTTTAATCAGTGTTTATCAGTCTCAATTAACATTGACTACATATGCAATATACATATACAGGAGTATAAGCAACTAAACATTCCTATTCCAAAGTAAATATAGAAGAATCCGATTATAACGACTCCGCATATAAAGCTCATACGGTTATATCGAGTCCCCAAACAAACCTATTTGAGCAAACATATATGATCATAGCGACTTCCGATCATAATGATGGTTCCTTGGGCATCGTTTCAACCGGATTCATAGAGCTAGTAACTGAAAAAGAATTTAGATAATTGAGTTAATGTTGATTTACTATACTTTATGGACTTACCAAATCAACTTTATGTGGTAAATTGACAAAAGCCTCTATATCTACATATGTCTATGTCTATTACATCTCTGGGAGTCGAAGTTCCAGCAACATTGTAACTACAGCTCGTGAGATTTTTAGGATGCGATGAGAGCTTGCTGAAGTCTTGTTGCCTTTAAACTATTACCTCCCTGATACGATATAGAGGATCGCATTCAAACTCTAAACTTGTTAATTAAGATAAACTATTTACACTCTATCTATATATGTATATAAATAATATCCATCATATGGAACAATATCCAATATATATATATATATTCGTAGATCAAGCTATAAATCGAAGTTTTCGATTTCACATAGCAAATGAAACATAGACAGACAACGAGTCGATATATAACTTTTGTGAATGCCCTTAACTTGAGGTAACACTGTAAACACACACACGCACGCACACATACACACACACACGCACAGACAAACGGATACTCAAAATGAATCAAATTTTTAATTGAATTTGATGTTAAATAGCCCAGTAAAAACTCGTGCATACATATACTATCCTTGTTTGTCTCGTCTTTTCAGAGTCGTTTATTAGAAGATGCTTCCCTATTATGCAATTCGTGGTCAGCACGTCAGAATGTAAGTTAAACCACAGTAAAGAAAACACAGCCCACACCCACACACACACACATGCACACACACATGCACACACACACAGTTGTTATGCCTTTGAATTGATTTACCTAATCTTTAATAAACAAACAAACAAAAACCCAAACTATTCGATTTATTTGATATACGATATTTGCTTACTTATGTTAGGTTACCCCACATACATACATATATATGTGTATATAGTATATGCTCTTTTTATGATACCTAATTATATATATATATATATATATATATAGTTTATATAGTAAATCTAGTTGATGTGGGCCTCATCTATCTATGTATCATCATGTTTCTTTTACTCCGTATACTTTATATTGCTTTCCAGTTCCAATTCGAGCAGATGATCATTGATATTATGTTTGACTAATTGGCGAATCTGTTCCATTTGTCTCTCATCGATACAGGGTGATATTTTTGCGGGTATCAACGATGGCATACTCAGCAGAGCGGAGGCCCTCGCCGCCGTCGACATACAGAAACACCAAGCCCAGCATGTACATAGCCAAATGCCCTCCCAAATCAAGCACGATGTGATGTACCATCACCATTCAATGAGTGGCCCCCCGCAACGTCCATTACAGGTGAGTTAAGCCAATAAATGACTAATACTAATACAAAAGAGATCTACACAGAAATTTAATGAAAATTTGATGAGAAAACAATTCGATTCAGTTTTGGCTTCAAAACTTTTGTAATCATATACTTAATACTATATACATATAGTGATTTTATGCGTAGGAAAATTCAATGGGAAATTTGATTGAAAATTGGAATCGCTAATGAATATATGGTTTAATGTTGCCTGAAGCTAATATGTGATATTTTCTAAAATATATATACACTCATATATTAGATATATTAATTGGCTGAATTCTTATATCTTTATTTATATATATAGTCAAGTCCCGATAAATCGAAATGGCAAGAGGAGACTTTTTTTTTACTTACACATAAATTCAAATTATCGGAAATTAGCGAGAATGAATTTTTTTTTTTTCAAGGGAATATAATTTCTTTTTATTTATCGCGATATTCGATTTAAGTGGGTACGAATTATCGAGACTCGACTGTATATATATATAGAAACAGAATCCTTTCACCGGATAGAGCCTCTCTTAAGGAGAAAGCATATATTTACTTCTACAATATTTATTATTTATTTATTAAAAACTAGAATTAATACAATATATTAAATCGGCATTGAGGCTATTGGGGTCTTCGGCTTGTTTCATAAAAATCTTCTTGGTTGTAAATTTCACATAAATAACATGGATTAATTGGGACTATACGTAATACCCACAACTAGCGCTAATTGAAATACATTTTAGCAGCAGATCGCAATGAACTTAGCGGAAATGTTACGAAATGCTTCAATGCATTGGCCTTGTAATGGGCCATATGTGCGTGCGTGTGTGTGTGTGTCTGTGAGTGTGTGTGTGTGTGTGTGTGTGCTATGCGTATATGGTATATTATCCGTTTTGCTGCGTTTTATGACAGTCATTTTGATTACAACAAAAGCAGCAACAATGACAACGGCGACAACTTCAATTTCCGCTTTTGCTGCTCAACTGCGTGCGTCTCTCTCTCTCTCTCTCACTCGCTCTCTCTCTCTCGTTTTGTCTCTCTCACTGTGTGGTTAATTTGAAATGTTTCTTTAATAAAATTAAAATTGTGACGTGTAAGCCTGCTGGGAACGGGCCACGTGACGGTCGTTTGCCAGGTAAGCACATCATGATTCGTGTCGTTAATTGTATTGTACCGCTACTTCAGCTCGAGGCGGGTCGCGGGCTATGGGCCGTGGGCCGTGGGCCGTGGGCCGTGGGCCGCGATTGACGGGTGGGCGAGTTGGACTCCTGTTTGGCTGTCTGCTTAGTCCTGGACACATAGGCACACACACACACACACACACTGCATGCAGTGCTCGCTGTGCGGCTAGGTGGTTGCTGCTCTATTTAAAGTTGATTGTAATCAAATTACACAAGCAACCTGTTCCTATATCTTCAGCTAGTTGTTCGGCAGGCATTCGAGTTGTTCTTGTTGTTGCACTCATTGTTGTTGTTGCTGTTGTTGTTGTAATGCCACTTGTTTTCGGCACAATCGAGCATGACAAAAGTGCGCGCTGTCCACGCGTTACTGTCGCCGTCGCCGTCACCGGTGGTTGTTGTGGTTCCCATCCCATACCCATTCACTCCCACCACCCCATGTCACCCATTCAACCATTCCCAATTTCTTGGCATACGCTCGTGTGGGCTTTAATTTTCGACACACACACACACTCATACACACACACACGCGTGCAGACACTTGAGTCTGAGAATTTGTACCCCATGCGCCTCGAGTTACCGCTGCGGGTCTCAGGTGCAACAACCTTCCACTGAGTGAGTGGCACAATCAACTATCCAGGGAGTTTAGCATCCCAATGCAATAGCAATAAAATATCGACTCCTGCTCCCTCCCCCTCGTGTCTGGCCAACTATTGTATGCGGCTCGACTGCTAGAAACATATTGCCAGGAGTGGAATATGCTCAGGAATGAAAACAAACTCGAACTGAGATTCAAAGCACAACACCAGAACTACAAATATACTCGTATATTTGGAGCTAATGGGAATACAGTTAATATGATTTATATGGTAGCAGGAGGCGTGGCACTCATCATATAGAATATATGTTTACCAGAATGCAGAGCTCTCTCGAATCTCTTGTATTTCGTTTATGATGTTTTATTATTATAGATGAAATCAATATTTTGCATTTTAATTTGAACTAGAATTACTAGTATTTCAGCCTATCGATATCTTTTTCCAGGCACTTTTAATATCCTTTACTGTTTTACTATTGTTTGCCAGTGTCTCTCTGCAGCATTGACATAAAAACATATTTGAATATTTCATTAGAAACTTGCATTTGGAAGCAAAGTTATTCAATTCCCATGCATATAATAAGACCAGATTAGTTGAGGCATCAGCTCCTATTTGTTTTGCTCTTTTTTCTGGTAGTTAAGGAAATCTTGAGATATCTAATATGCCTTTCAATTCAGTTTGTACAAAGTTAACTAAGAAAATCCTAAAGATTCTCTTTTATTGTTTACTCAAATGAGTCTTTCATTCAGTATCTGCTAAAATGCTATAAATAACATTGAAATTCTCAGGAAATTTTGTTGCTTAAGCAACCGTTAAAGACAAAACTAATTGACCTTAACAGGAAATTTTCTAGAATCGTATATTTAAGGCAATATAAAACATACAGCTTTTTTTTAACTCTCTCTCTCTCTATCTCAAAATCTAACTCAAGGGCTCTCTCTCTCTCTCTTCCTTTGTCTGCCTTTGTCTCTATCTGTCCCTAGCTCTCCCTATGCTTGTCTGCCTCTCTCTCTAGCTTGCTCTTTCTACCAACTTTCTCACAATTCTCTCATTGGGTATCTTTCTGTGTCCCCCTCTCTCTAGCTCTCTCTGTCACCCCTTTTTACACTACACGCTGTCTGTCGTTCGCTGTCAGTTTCTCTCTCCCCCTACTCTTGTCTATCTCTCTCCCTTTCTCTCTCTCCCACTTCTTGTCTATCTCTCTTCCTTTCCCTCTCTCTCATCTTGTCTATCTTTTTCTCGCTCAATATATATACATATATATATATATATATATATCCTCCCTGACTTTCTCTCTCTTGCCCTGTCTCACCAATACGCTCTCTATTTCTCCTCTCTCTTCCTTCAACCTCTTTCTCTTTCTTTCTCTCTCTCTCTCTCTCTTTGTATCACTTCTTCTGCCTATTGCTGTTTCCCACTTCCCCCTCTCTCTCTCTTCCTCTCGCCTCCTCCCTTCCCATCTTCCTCCAAGCTTCCTCTTCAGAATTCAAAACCCTCAAATATTTGATTTTCACTTATCGATTTGTTTATTGAATTCCTTGGATATCCGTAACATATTTTTATTTAATTTACAATTATTTCGATAATACTTTTGCAGAAGCGAACGTAGTGTGGATGGATCATATGGCCGTGCCCTCACAATATGGTGGCCAGCTCAAAGACGCAATTGCTAGGGGCATTGCCGTTAGGTGGGAGCTGTGCCAGCAGTTGGGGCAAGTTTTGGCCATGTTTGAACTGTGTTGGGCTCTTTGAAAGTTGCTCAAATTTATTATTTTGGCTCTACCTGACGCGGGCTCCCACGTCAAATATTAAGGCTTGCAGTTCGACAACTTTGACAATTTTTGAAAATTTCTCTCTCAGCTAGTTAAGTCAGTCAGTTAGTCAGTCAGTCAGTCAGTCAGTTAGCTAGTATGTTTCTTTGTTCGAATGCTTGTTTGTTTGTTTGCTTGTATGCTGGCTTGTTGAGTGGTCAGTGAGAATGGCCTAGATCGCTGCAGCTGTTCTTAGTGCGGCCACGGGCATGGGCATGGGGGCGATGCCAGGGATTGCTGGCGCAGTTGCAATTGCACTTGCAATAGTCGCAAAGCAATGTCTCCTCGCCCTGATTGTGTTGGGCATCGTAGATGGCACTCGTAGCTGCATCGATGGCATCCTGAAACTCGACATCCTGCTCCTGCTCACCGTAAAGACCTGTCTGCTTGTTCCCATAAAAGAAATCTACATACTGTAAGCGCCGTCGCTCGAAATTAACCAAATAGCGTCGCCACTGGCGCTCGAAGTGGGCAAAGGAAAAGTCCTCCTCATTCTCCTCATCTATCCTTGCATTTTCACCCATCTGCTTGTCCCTGCTCGTTGTGCTAGCCCTGGATCGTCTTCTGACATCGGTATTCGGATTAGCTGCCTTCCCTGCCATACTGCCTAGTCTAGTCTAGTCTAGGATGCTGCAAATAAACAATTATTCAGTAGATCTTGCGATTATCTTGATGGATCTTGATATTGATATTGATATTGATATTGATATTGGTTTATTTAGATATTTATATGCACATGCGCAATTCGCTTTTATATATATATGTAGATATATATATTTATATACTATTATTATTTTTATAAATATACAAATTTATATTTTTGTAGAATTATATATGTACGTACCTACGTATATACATTCACAAACAAATATAACTGGACTGCTTTAATCTGAGCTCAAGTTGACATCGAACCTAACGAAAACTTGATTGTGTTCTTTTCTTTTTTGGGCTGGAAATAAACTTTAGAATCTCTTAATCTTTGTGTGAGCCATAATATATTCTGCTGCACTGATTGTCGTTTATTTAGAATTCGTAATCCATTCGTATAAAAAAATAAATAAACAAGTCTTTCACTGATTTCCCTCTAGTCGATAGTAGATGATCGCCAAGCTCTCCCGCACTCCATTTCTAGACGCCATTTTCTCAAGGGGCGCTATCGTCACTGCAGAGATCTCCTTAAGAATCATTTGTTCTCGGATATACGTAAAAATCATCCTCAGGCTCATATCGTATCTGGAAATCGCCCACATCTGATACTTTCTTTCCGAATATGGAGACGTCTACAGGTTAAAACCTGGAAAAGACAATCACAATCTTAAATCTAAGCTGTATCATATATGCTAAACGCAACATTTCGATTATGGACTGATTATCCTGAAGTGAAGCTTGAGAATCAAACGGGTACTTTACACCTTTGATGTGGACTTTAGTACCAGTTTCCCAGCTTGCCCTAATTCACTATGATCTATTTAAGTCTTAGCTTCGCTCATTTTTCAGCTATCATTAAATCAGTCGATTTTTATCTACTGCTTGATACTTGTTCATGGTCTGTAAAAGGTAAAAAAAGAAAAAAATAAATCAACATATATTATACTATATATATTCTTTCGTTCCCTAAGTGATTTCGTTTAATATTGAATTTTGCCGCAGCCAACTTCGCACTTAATCGCTTAAACGTTATATATTTGAACGGCTGTTATAATTAGGCTTAATTGTATTATTAAATAATATGCATTTCAGATATATCAAAAGGAAGTCTCAATAGTATTTCAACTGCAAAATAGAAGTATTTCAATGAGAATATTTGTGGTTTTTCTCATTTACTAGTACCTCTATAAGGTGGTTAAGCTATAATGCGACTATTTTGAGTATATCTCTCTAAGAACTGCCCAAGATTATTCGATTTACCATGAATATTTCCAATGGATATCACTACATAATATATTCAGTCGGGTAATACATACTGTGCATTCGAAACTTAAAGTCGTCGAGAGAATTTCCATTAAACGCCATTTAGACACTTTTCATTTGCCACGCCTCCTGTAGGTGTGTAGATACATTGCTTTGAAGCTCTACCTCTAATATGGCCCTTTCACTTCGTAAAGGGGTTTAACAGTTGATTCGAACATATAATTATTTTACAGCCACGCCTTGTTCCAGTTTCCTCTGTAGAATAATTAAATCTTGTTCCACTCTAATTACATTTTGCTCTCCATTTATTTTACTTGGTTTCCAATTAAGCATAAATTACAGATAATTCATTCATCAATTTCTAATTCCTATTTTCCGAGTTGTTAAAAAAAATGTAAATCGAGTTTGATTTTATCAAGTTCTTATTTTTAGTTTCATTTGCTATTTTTTAATTATTTATTTACTTAGTTTTTGTCACCTGATTTAGCTTCATTAAGCTAATGCAACTAACACTCGAAAGTCTCAAAAAAAATGCCTATCAAATAAGTTTTGATGGCCCTCAGTCGCCATCCAGCCAACCACCCAACCACCCATCCACCTGTCCCGTTCCACTCCGCCCGTCACCTGTCCGGGCAGCCAACCCCTCCCTTACGCCCCCCCTTACGCATTCTTTAACCCCCTTGGCAAATGTAAGTTTAAAATTTTCCACTTGATTTGATGGCTGCTGTCTATCAGTTCTGGTAACATGTGTCATAAGCGTTATGCGAGTGCCATAAAGCCGCCCCGCCCTCCCTCTACCCCGATCCGACCCCACCACTCGTCCATGATCTGCCCCTGTTCATAGGAAAAACATAACAAAACTCATTAAATTAAAGTAATTTACGTTAGAGCAACCACCTTCTCCCCCTCTCTCCCTCCCTCTCTCGCTGTCTCCCTCAACCCCCTGTAGGCCACAAAATGTGCAAGTTTTGCGAGCATATGAAGGGCCAATTATGAGCGCTACGAAAAGGGTAAATATCTACGAGAGCAAATATAATGCTAATTAAAATAATCATATCCATCATAAAGCACAATGCGATGGGCCGAAGGACGGCAGGACGGCAGGACGAAAGGACAGCAGGATGGTGTCTGAGCTCGCCTGACAGCTTGCCAGCATTTGTAACAATTACAAATGAGAACACCGACAACAACAACAACAATAACGGCAACAACAACAACAATAAATATTATCAATTTGCTAAACAATGATGCAGCAGCCACTGAGCAACTGAACGAGGGGCGTCGGCCACTGGGGGTGTGGCAGCCTGGCAGCTAGCCACTTTGCAGGCATTTATCACAGATTTAGATTTTGCACCAGTTACCAAAACAAGAAAAGCAACGGCAACGGCAACGGCAAAGTTTTTGGCTGCTCAACCAGTTGCCGAGCTCAACGGTGAGCGGTGAGGGGTGAGGGGTGAGGGATGGAAAAACAAGTACACTTAATTCAATTTAAATTACACTTTCATATTTCCGGACGGACGGACTCGAGGGCCTGGCATATCCATTAGTATTCGCAACATATGGCTCAATTTCCCTCAAATCATTTTCCAGCACACGCACGCCCATGACCCCGCCGCAAGGGGGTGGCGAGGCGCTTGTACTAGAACTGTATGCCCGCCAGCCACCGCACCACGCACCACCATAGCGAACATACACCTGCCCACCGAGCGCCTGAAGCCGGCAACCACAAGTGGTTTATCATATTGAAATTCATTTAGTGCACCTGTTTGATTTTTTTTTTTTTGGCTTTTGGTTTTTGGTTTTTGTTTTTGCTTCTGTCATTTCGTGACAGAATGGAGCCGGGCATACTATTTGGTAAATATCGTTAACTTTCCATTGCCACTCCACACGCAATCAAATTCTACTTAGTGTAAACCGCCAAAGCCACCTCCGAACTGTCATTCCCTTCCGGCGGGTGGGTTCCAACTTCCAAGCACAACCCACAACCCACAACCCGCTACCCGCGACCCGTAACCCGCGACCCGCCAACCACAAGGCAAACAGCGTCGCAGCACAAATATTTGTTGTCTCGCATTTGTGGGCCACAGACTGAGTGCGATACTTTCCGATGCTATCGCACTCCCACATACACACATATGCACACATATGCTTGATGGAATCATTAATTGTCTTTAATTCCTATAATTGAAGCTCTTACAACAGTATCCTGCCTCCTGCTCTGATCGTCTGTCTTCGTGTTTTGTCTCTTTCCCTCTTTTTCCGTATCTGTGTTTATATCCAACTCCTTCCCTCTCTCTCTCTCTCTCTCCCTGAGTTTCGCCTCGTATCTATGTTTATCTCGATATCAGTTGAGCACTGCATTCTTTCTTCTCTCTCGCTCTCAATATATATATTTTATTCCTTTTCTCTCTTTCTCTCACTCTCTCTCTGTCTCTCTCACTCTCTCTCTCTCTCACTCTCTCTCTCTCTCACTCTGTCTCTCTCTATCTCTCCGTACCACTAGAATTTCATGTACCTTTCAATCTTTGATTCCATTTCAGGATTCTTTTTCTTATCTTTCCATCACTTTCTATCACCTCCCCTCTCTATCTATTTCTCCATGTCAAGCTCAGACTATGTTTTAGTCTATACATTGTATGAATGTTCTCTTCTCTTTCTAGTATTCACTCCTACTCTTTTACTCTCTATTATTCTGGCGCCCATTCCCTACTACTTGCTTGCTTTGCTTGCACCTCAACCAACTCTCTCTCTCTCTCTCTCACCATCCCTCTTTGCTTTCTTTTGTCAGTTTTCATATTAGTATTTATCTATTTCATAAAACATGAATCTTCAATTCTATCAAGTTTCCTTCTTGTCATCAACAATTTTGTTCTGTCCACTGTTTTTCCTACCTGCCGCCCTCGCTCCCTCCCCCTTGCTTTACCTCCTATTTCACTCTCCCTATTTCTTCCACACAATCTGCCACTTTCTCGTCCACTGTCCACTGTTCTGTCATCACCTGCCTAATCCAGCGACCTCCATTTCGCACCGGCCGTGTCTCATTTCAGCATTTGCATTAATAATCGATAGGACGTCCTAGTTATCGATTGTTATGGTATTTATCACCACCGGATTGACATTATTAAATATGTAACCATATTTAATATTGCACCATAACAAAACGGTAGCCAAACAAAAAACAAAAAAGAAAAACAAAATTTATATACACAGCAATTTTCGGATTAATAATACATTAGCTTCGCCTACCAGCCTTCCTTTCGTATACCCTGTCTGTTATTAGTGTCAATAGCATGTGCTACGCCTCCATAGAGCAGGCTAAGCTCTCGCTGCCTATTGTTGAGGAATAGGCACTTCTTGCTATAGTCTCTTTACTCAAAATATCCAATCGATAAGTATCGATGCACACGATTAAGCTGTCTAATCGATAGAAATGCTGAATGGCAAATATATTTGCATACAGCCTCTCGTATCTTATGAGCAATGCCAAAATTCTACTTGCCTACTCACTTTGTCTATTAAGTCGATTAATATCGATAGTCGGCTAAACTTTAAATTGTAGTTATGATTGTACTTTTCGACTCAATATAGCTGCTCTACGCATGTTAGCTCCTACATGTTATCTACAATTAATACCTATATATTTCACTTTATATCCAATTATCGATAATTATCGACTACTATTTTATTAATAACCTGCCAAATGTAGAATTTGGCAGTGAAATTATTTTTTGATTAATATTTATTGCTGCTGAATTCAGGGTATTAGCTAGTCGGGTCATTTCATCCACAGTCTTACATATTTTTTCTGCTGTGTGGCTTAAGCAAGTTTTGCGGCTTCAGTGTGTGTGAGCGCGTATATATGTGTGTGTGTGTACGCGCCGTGTATTGTGTGTAGAAAGCTTTGTGTCATCCAGTGACAATTTACGGCCCGATCCTAACCGCATTCCACTTGCCATATTCCATGTGGCCTGTGCCATGTGCCATGTGCCATGTCCCATGTCCGATGTCCACGTC